TTTTATTTTATTTTATTTTATTTTATTTTATTTTATTTTTTATTTTTTTTATTGCATTGCATTGCATTAAGAGTATAGGAATATTTTGCCTTATATAATACTATAAAAGATTGTCATTTTGTTGTTCTTGTATTAAATTTTATATTTGCATCCTAGTGATCATTACCATTTCTTTTCTGTTTTCATTGCGAGAAATAGTTAATAGTTTGGTATCTAGTTTTGGACATACTGTTTCTGGTAACAATTGAGGGTTGATTAGCATCGAAATATCAGTGATTGTGATTGCCCAGCACATGGACCAGGAATGCAATGGAAACTTTAAAAGCCATTTTCCTTAAGTTTAAAATGTTCATCTTTAGGGAAAATTTCCTCAAAAACTACTAATAGAAGGATGCCCAAATTTTAACAGAGCCTGTAGCACACTAGTTTGCATACTCTAATGGAACGGATTTGCAAAATGCTAAGTACTTTAATCAATATTCTTATAAATGTTAGTATTTTTAAGAACAAAACCGACTGCAGTAGATATTTATATTTACTTAGTTAATTTATATTTAAAAAGCTAGTAATATTTTTGTAAAAGGATTTGTTAAAATACTAATAAATAATGAATCTGTATGCACATAAAATGTCATGTCTGTAAATTAAAGTTTCTGAGAAAATGTTCTTTACATTAACATTGGCGACGATATACAATTTCGGCTCCCCTTAAGCCCCTAGTTTTGATAATTCAATTTTAATTTAGTTGTTTTTTCATTTATGTTGTGAGAAACAATATTTTCTAACATGGAACCCATAAAACAGATACAACCTTTCACCCATCCACCATCATTATTTGAACTTCAGGTTATTTCCTTATTCCTAAGATATTCTGAGTTTTTGTTTGTTTGTTGTTGTTTTTTATTACAACTGCTTTTAAAAATAACTATGTTAATTGTTAATGATAATATATTTTAAGTTCTTCATCATGTGTCTTGTAGAGATTCGGAGGGATCATATGTTCAACCAGAGAGTCACCTTAGTGTGACAAGTGGACGGCCATCCATACCAGAAAGTAAGTGAAAATTTCCATGTTAAAAATGAAGTTTCATTAGCATATTATTCAGTTCAGATAGGTAGCCTATTATTTTGTAAATCAGTAACTAAAAATCCACAATTGTCTACTGAGTTATTTAGGTATTTTCAATTTAAAAAGATATTAATACCAAAGTGTTTTTATGTCTATTTACATGAAAAATCATTTTAAAAGATAATGGTTTGGCTATGCAGAATTACTTAATTTTTTAGTTAAGTTGTATGCTTATGCATGAATTTAATGTCTTATAGTTTTCAAAGTAATGTTTTTCCGGTGAAATTCGATAGCACACAATAATAAAAACTGTTCTGAACTAGTGAGACATGTGTTTTAGGAATTAAGATAAGAGTCTTAATTTTGAGGAAAATTACATATTGCTTAAATTCACAAGTGAAAGACATAAAAATCATTCTTTAATACTCTCCCTTTAATATTATCTTTCTTAAAGCTGAATGGAGTCTTCTCAGCAGTGAGGGTGAACCACAAACCCCAACAGAAGACAAAAATCATAGATTGGAGTGCGTTTTGGATCCCAAAGAGTTGCAGAATTTTGCTGTTCAAATAGCCCGTGGTATGGCTCATCTTGAAAGGAAACAAATTACACATAGGTATGTCAGTAAAAGAACTATAAAACATATTTCAACATGAAAATGGGCATAACAACAATAAGGTAGATTCTTACTAAGACTTCCCTCTCTAAATGTGTGCAGGTGCATGGGTCTACACATGCATGTAAATAAAATATTTACCAAAAATTACATTATATTTTAATTTAAAAATTTAGATATATTTAGATAACTTAAAGTTTAGCAGTTAAAAACTTTAATATTGTTAGAAATTATTGCTCCCCACGATCAAAAATTTTGCCCTCACTCTAGCTATGTCTATACTCTTGACTATGAATTTAAAAATTGCATCAAAGATGTAATATCTCTCTTCTTATTTCCCTTTTAGGGATCTTGCAGCTCGAAATGTTTTAATTGATGAAAATAAGACTTTAAAGATTTCAGACTTTGGTTTATCTAGAACTGGTATTTATGTAAACACTAAAAGAAAAAAAGTTCCTCTGCGGTGGTTGTCAGTTGAAGCAATGAGAGATAACTTATATTCCAGTAAAAGTGATGTATGGGCATTTGCCATTGTGTTGTGGGAGATTGGCACGTTAGGTAAGTAAAATTTTGTGACATTTGGATTATTGGTAATCGGAAATAATAGTTAAATTTTATTTTTCCTTCACTAAACTGTCAATTTTCATATCACAATATGATAGGTGGCTTTCCATACCCCACTGTGGCTGACATGAATCTCTTATCATTCTTAATGGATGGCAAACGCTTGGAGAAACCTGATAACTGTTCAGACGAATTGTAAGTATTTGAAAGAATGCATTTCTGGAGTCAACTTTTTTCAGTAATAGTATATGGTGACTATGTCTTACATTTTGTTTCCGCAATAGGTATTCTCTAATGCTGCAATGCTGGGCATACTCTCCTGATGCAAGACCATCTTTTGCTGAATTAGTGGAACACCTTGATTCTGTCACATGTCGCAAGCGTGTTTATGTAGACTTTTCAAATCTAAGCCCAAACTACACATTCCCTCCAACAGAACAACAAACATAAAATATTCCTTGTAATGGAAGATAGCAAAATCCACAATCTACAAAAATTCAACAATCTACCATTGAACAACCTGCAATTCTGGAATAAATATAATTATTTCCTTTAGTTTCTTTTCCTAATGGGAAAACCTCCATCTAAAGCCACTCTTCATTTTTGGTTTTGATTTGTTTTGTATTAATAAGCATTTAGGGATTAATGTATCAGTTTCCAAACACCAATGTTGTGACAAAGTTTTATCTTTAAGAAAATGGGACCAATAATTTGTTTAAGAATGTAGAACAGTATTGTCATCTCAGGCACAAAGAAAAAGTCTGAATATAGAATTGTATGCAACTTGAAACTGTCCTACAAAAGAATTCATCTCCAGGTTAAAAATGAATCAATGTTGAGAAACTATAAATACTGTGATAATTTGTACACTTTATGAAAAATGATTTGTGTACTTTTATGACATTTTTTGTCTGTTTTTAAAATATTGAGAATAATTTAATCATAAATTTGTTAACTTCCATCAGAAACAAATAATTTTCTCACAAATACTGCTGTGTGTATTAGATCAAAGATTTAGAATTAGAATTTGTGCACCAATATTTCAGATTGACAGTTTCTTGTAGTTTGCCTGCCATTTGAAAAATTACTCTACTTAGAATTTTATATATAAAAATTCAGTGTCTTAGTTTCATGCAGTTCAACCCTATTTAATTATCAAATGTTTATATGATCTGTAAATGAGCACTTGTATATGTTTTGGCATTTATAAAAAATGAATGTGAAGCACTGAAAAAACAAATTTACATTAGAAAGAAATATTTAAGAAGTATGAAGAGCAACTAAAGTGGTTTTGTCATCAAAAGAATTTTGAAGGAAAAGCTAATTTCTTCTTTAATGGATGAAATTCATTTAACCCCGTGATAATAAGAAAGGAATTAAATGTGTTTTGAATCTGGAATTTAGCTTGTAAAAATATCAGTGTAACAAGAGAATTGTTGTTTCTTTGAGGAATAGAAATAATGCAAAAAAGAATGTTGTGTTTGTTGTTGTTGTTAAGATACATGTATATATTTTATAACTATTAATGTGTGCCTACCATTGATATGTTACTGCAGTATTTGTAATTTTATCTGTGATGTTTAAAAATTATTCTTGAAAATTAATTTTTTATCAAACAAAAGAAAAATTAACTTATTTGCATGACTTCTCTCAGAGAACCAACCCAGTCAAGCCAAAAAGGAACCTATGCTATAAGAACAAAATGCAATGCAATGGCCAGTCTAAACCCTTTTTTAATAAACAAAATAATAAAAATAACATGCTATAGTTCATAAAAAGCTCCTAATTTGCTCAATAGTGTTACAGCATTTTAAACATTTATTTATTATGTCTTTTGATTTTACAATAAATGCAGAGATGATACAGGAAAAAAATTTTAAACATTTTTCTAAATTTGCACATTTTTGTATAAGAACGAAAAAGATATTTTGAAACTAATAAACTGTTTCAAACTCACTTGCCTGTGACAAGTTCATTACAAGTGCAAATGATAATTTCCTCAAATGAACCTTTAATTAATCTTTATCTATTGATTATTTTGCATTGTTTGCACATTTACTACATTGTTTAATTTTATGTCAATCACTTTCTGTGTTTACATTCTGCCAAAGCTCTTGTTTACATAAGTTGGGCGTTGGTTTGGAAAAGGTTAAAATATGGATTTGAAATGTTCCTTTCCTGAAAACAGACCAAGGTGAGAAAGGCTTCTAAAAAAAGTTAAGGAGTTTCTGTTCATGTTTCTGTAAGCATACAATTTCTCTTTGAAACAATCTATTGTTTAACAAAAAATTGTTAAATTGCAAAAAATGAAATTATTGATTATCGGCTATTTTGAAAAAGAAAGAAATAATAATTAAGTTGCTGAAATTATGATGTTTTGGCAAGTTTTTATCTAAAATTTAAATTTATTATCAAACAAATTATGAATTATTTGTACAATATTTTCTTCATTGCATATTTTATTTCACTTAGAAAAAGTTAATGAAATATTTTGCATACACCAGATAATGGACAAATCTTCATTACAATAATTGTATTTTTAATATAAATTATTTGCCATTTGCCAAGCAAGATACGTGGTTTCATTAGCACAAAATTTCATTCAATATCAAAATTACAAAGAATCAAAATATCTTTCAGAGATCTTCGTAATGCAATGACTATCCCTGAAGTTTGGAAGTTCAGATATTTATTTTGCCTACAATATGCAGAAAAAAAGGCATTTATTCTGATTATACAAGGTTATAACAGACATTAAAAGTGACAAAAGTATTAAAAAAGGAAATGTAGTAAAAAAATTTCAAAAGGAATTGGAAGTTTAGGATGTGATTCCTCTGGCTAGCTTGTTAGAATCAATGAAAATAATCCAAAAATCTTTGCTATACATTGTCTTGTTTTCTACCAGCAACATGAAGCAATTCGTGTCTACAACTAGAGTAAAACACTTTCTGGCAGATATCACACCTTAGTTTGCTGAGAAACACAACATACAATTGTACCAATGTGTTTTCCACACATGTAGAAGTCCAGCAAAATTAAAATCTTCTAAAACATTTACAGAAGTAGAGTTAAGTGATACCTATTGTTTAAAATATCTTCAAACTGTAACAATAATAAGACTTTTGCCATACTTTGAGGCTTTCATTACCCTAATTTGTGCAAACTGAAATATTCCATCAATGTTCCTATACTCAGAATGATTAATTGGATCGATCATTAAGTCCAATGTTATTTGACTTGGAAATCATTATAGCTGAATATACATTTCTCAGAGTTCAAGAATGGATCAAGATAATTAACAGAAATGTTCATGTGAGACAATACAATTCTAGCTGAAAAAGTTCTGTAAGACAAGGTAACAGACATTTTTTCAACATGTGCTGGTTACTATTAGCTTGTCTAAAATTTACTCACATGATTGTTTCTTATACTTCTGTAGCTTTCCTATATCTGTTGTAACATTATGAAGTATCCTTGAAGGCAAGGAAGGTGCATGAAAGTTATGAATCAGAGTGCATTCTTAAAAATACATATAAAAATACACATTAAATTTTAAAAATAATGTCTTTAAATTCTATTCATAACAACCTAAGTATTTTATTACAAAAACTTTGAGCTAGTGATGTTTATTCTTTTTACACTTTCCTGAATGATATGGTATTCTATATAAGTTTATATTATTTATTTTAATTCCCTTTCTTTAAATATTTCAAAAGCAAATTTTAAATTACTGTTTCCAAATATATTCTGTTTACCATCGTCCATCATGTAACTACCTGAACAGTTTCAATAACACAACTTTTATGCTCACTTCCATAAATTAATTTTAAAAGAATTATGCAAAAGAAACTTAATTCAAAAGTATTTCATTACTGATTAAAAACTTTTTTCAATTCAATGTGTCAGTTTTTTTAACAAGAAATGGGAGGTTGATTCTTCAGATGTTTCATCTGCTGAGTTGCAGACCTCATCAGTGCTACAAGTAAATCAGTAATTTAGTAGACACAAACAAACAAACAAACACACAGAATGAAATGATTATGAAAATAACAAAACTTACCTTTTGAAAGAAAACTCAAGAAAAATAATAGGGAAAAAAAACTAAAACAGCTAAACATTTGCTCAATTTTGACTTGCTGGATCAAAAATAAAAAATATTTTAATTCAATTTCATGTAAGTATTACTACTTATAATACAAAGGGTGCTTTCCCAAATATGAAATTTATAGAAGTTAGTTGTAAGGGAAATTGCATTAATAAAGGTGTTACAAGTTATTACGGACAGAAGAATATATTTTCACTGATCAGTAGTAAAATATTTTTAAGGCAAAACAACAAACTGGAAGATTTCACATTGGTCATTACATCATTCTCAATGTAAGTTGAGAACATACATTTTCATCCATAAGAAAAAAAACACTACATAGAAAATCTCATTTTAATTCTTACATCATTAAATTGCATTCAGTAGAAGAACATTAATAGATTTGGAATCAATTTAGAAGATATTTTGTGTGAAGAGTCAGATTTAAATGAAACTTCATTGAAATGAAACTGGATTGCTATCTTTCACCAAGAATACTACAACGTAAGTCCACTTGTTAAAAACAAATGATTTATTTTTCAGTTTTGGTGTGAACTGGGAAAACTTCTGTTGAAAATTTTTTTTATTAATGTGCCACCATTATAAACAACCTTTTTGATTGCAAGAAAGTTCTTAAATAGCACCTTATTGCACATTTAGCCATTTATAACCCAAGTAATTTCATCATCACTCATGTCATAGCCCATGCATGACCCCCCTCAACAGCCCTGCCCATCTTTCCTGCGTGTTCTCCTTGGTCATCATCCTTGCATGACACAACACCATCATTGTGTTGCGAACTGCAAACCTGATTTTGAAATTTTTTTCCAATGTTAATTTTGATTCTTTTATAAATTTATAATATTCTTATAGAAAAAAGTGGAGTATGCATATGATTAAAATGTGACTTCACTACTTTTGTACAAAGTTGAAAACTTGTTCTTATCATCGTTTGATTTCAAAACGTGTAATATAGCATAACATTACAAACTAGTTACACAATGTATTATTATCAGATCCATAAATTTATGTTTAATTTTTTTTATTGAAGCAATATATGTGAAAACTCAATTAATACAAGTAGACAAGTTTTTAAAATAAGAAATAACAAATGATGAACTGTACCTGATACATGTGTAATTACTTTACATGTTGTAATTTTGTCTGTGTTGATAGATATGTTGTGGTGTCAAAAAGCATTTATTCAACCTCTTGCCATTGTTAGATCATAGATTTTTATTCATCTTAGTTTTTTTAAATTAATTTTTGTTATATATTCTATCAAATAGTATGTAATAACCAATTGACTCATCATACATGATCATAAGATAATTGTGTGATTCAATAAATAGACATTATTATTATCATTATTATTAAACATTTCTAGTTGTATAATGTTACAGTCCTTTATATTTAACTATATTAATGACATTTTATTATTGTTTATGCCTCTATATTATTATAGCCAGCAACCATGGTTGAATAGAGAATATTGTGTTGTTTTATGCAGCTATACTAATTGTAATAAATGGGAAGTAATAATAATACTTTCACTAGTTAAAACTTGTGCATATCAAGATTTTCTACACCAAAAATGATATCTTCTTTTGTCAACATTAACTGTTCATTAATGTTATATCCTGTAAGTGCAAGTTATTAAAATAGTCATGGTTTGAAATAAAATAATCTACATTTGGCTTTTATTGATAGCACATAAAGAAGAGCATGTTCCTCATTTTTCTGTTTTTCTATGATTCCTTATTTCCTTCCCATTCTTTAACTCAGGGGTTCCGAGTTCAATATTGACCCCCTAAAAGTCGAAATTTTGAAGGCGGGGTCAATCATGACCAAGGAGTTCACTACGGGTCTGTAGCCAAAATGAACAAGTAATTGATAGGTATAATCAATGATTACAAAAATATTGACTGACTTGATAATGATGATTGATAATTTTCTGATATAAAGTAACACAACATAAAACAATAAATTACAAATTCGCTCCTCTTCTTGCGAATTGGTTGTCATTCGTATCCAATGCAGGAATAATAGTTTTTTAATAGAAGTTTTTATAATGTCTAAAAGAACATTTTTGCCTCAGTATTTTCAAAAACATTGAAAAATCAGTGTTTAGACACTATATTAAATTCCTCCAAACACTCATTTTCTTATATCAATTTCACTTTATTACTCTTCCTTTTACCAAATTTACTTTCAATTTCCACAATCACTCCTTCACCACCCAAAGGTACACTTTCTCTTTCCAGAATCATATATCACTTCCCTACAAAAACTCAAATGATCATCACAGTCTTTGCCTCTGTATTTACATCATCCATAATGTGCATAACATACACTTGTAAAAACCACAAATTTGTCGTTCTAAGAAATTGAATCATACATACTCTGAAATGCGAGTCGAAAATATGCTTGTTTTCGCGCAGCCTTCTATCTACTCCGTAGGGAGAAAGTAGAAACTTGGGCGGGCTGGCGACACCAGGGAGTAGGCTCACGGAGGACTAGAGGGGGCTGGGTTTACGTAGCTGCGCGTTTCCCGGTTTGTCGGTTTCATAGCTACTATTATGAAAGCAGAAAATACGGTTTTAAAAAGATGACAAAACCTTTCCGATTAGACAAAAAAATATTTTTATTCTTGTCATAATTTCCCAGTACGACCTCTATGTCGCCACAATAATCATGTGCATTCATACTGTGACGTACCAGAATGTCACACGAGTGTAATACAACGTAATGGATGCATCTAAAATATTAAAATTGCTTAGCAAAGAATATAAACATTTAGGGCGCCTTCCCACGGCGCGACCGCGGCGCGCTTCCTTCAAAGAGCAGAGCCCTTCTGACGCAGCCACCCAGAGTATATTACAACAGAGAGTATATTACAGCAGAGAGCAGCCACCGCCGGAACCACGGCCGCACCGCCGCCCGCCGTGGAAGGGGGTGGGGTCAGGAGGGGTAGATTTCGCCGACCCTCCGGCGACGACGAACAAAGGGACCGGAGCAGGTAGAACGCTGCGGCCGTGGCACAGTGAGAAGGCTCCCATTTAAAGCTGTGTTCTGCTAGCGGTGGCGCATGCCCCCTCCTCCGCTTCGCGTAGCTGGAGTTCGGCGTCGGCTGCCGCAGCAGCCGCCACCCGCTGCACGTGGGAAGGCCTCCATTCAAACCAATGCTCTGCTACGGGCCGCGCTGCTGCGAAGAGCGCCGTGGGAAGGGGCCCTAAGAGCCCTAAGGGCTGCTGCTGCTTGAAGGAAGCGTACCGCGGTCGCGCCGTGGAAAGGCGCCCTAAATGTTTATATTCTTTGCTAAGCTATTTTAATATTTTAGATGCATCCATTACGTTCTACTACACTCGTGGGAAGGGGCCCTAGGCACCATGTTGGATGCTAGACAAGAATTGTATTGTCGAGAGGCACGACCTGGTGTTCCGTTCCGTTCACTATACAAAGCCCTCGCGCAAAGGCAGGTGGTCGCTCCTTCCCTCCGGAGGCGGCCTCTCCCGCAGGGTGCGCCCGCCGCACCCGCGCCGCCAGCCCCGCCCCCCTGCTTTCCCGAAGGGCTGCAGACTTCTGGCTTGCAACGCCACATTCACTTGTGCCAGGAGAGTCGGGCGAGAACCACCACTGCGAACGGCACAAAAGCCACACCGCCGGCCCAGCGCCTTTTCGTTGAGCAGTCTCGGTGCTCATGATCAGAGTTCATAGTATAACGCAATGCGCTTCGCGCACGTAAAACACTGCCTTCTGCACATACATCGGTCATATTAAGTGTCTTGACTTGTCTTCGACGAGCAGCCACTAACGGTTGCCCGCATTATCATATATTCTTCTTATCGACGGATACTCAGTCGGTACGAGCAGACCCTTACTCACACACGAGACCGTGTGTGCGCACGCGCAGACTCCTCTGCAAGGCCCACTAGGGGCCGGGTCCGTGCGCATAGAGATGCTGGACAGAACTCCGACCAGCGAAACTGTGTGGACGCCTGCATTCGCCCTTCGCCGACGGAAAGAGCAAACTTGAGCGTCACACGCATGCTCACAGCGCTACACATCAGGTATTCGCGAACGCCGTGTGCCAGGACGTGTAGTGTGACAAACGTTCACTAGTCACCATCAGCGGTTGAGAAGTAACATCGACGTAGCAACATCCATTTTGAGTATTCATTGTATTTCATCTTTGTTTCATTCACATTTATCTCATTTCGACCTAGCATGGAATTTATATCAATCAAGCGTACGTGGCAATGAAATTCTTGTAAATTTGTATCCTCCGCCCCCTCTTAACCAGCACCCATTCCCCCCCCCCCCGGGCACCTCACGGCCCGGTGCGATGTAAAAATTCTTTGTGTTGAGAAGGGCCTTTCAGTCCTCTAGCGCCCCCCTTCCCCGTTCAAGGTATTCTTCCCCCCTTCTTTGTACACCTGGTGTCATTAACATGGAATTGATTAGGGGAAGGCGTTGAAAATATATCTTTAGCATACGAAGCAAATTCTCACTCTCACGGAAGCAGTCAAGCAGTTCACATGGTATGAACATTATGAAACTGTAATTTTGCGATAATAGATTTATGTTGTGGGTAAATATTCGTTTGGTTAGCCAGTAGGCTAAGCAGTATTATTTATTTAAGTTTTAAGTGAATAAATGTTTGCATTGTTTTAATAATAGTTACATCTGTTGTCGCGTATGAATTTTGCATTTAAGAATATTTAGACTTCGTGTTCGTGGGTTTATATGAGGTTAGTTCCGTATTGGGATTTATAAATTATTAATGTTAAGGAAATAGTTATTTAGCGAATAGAGGTCGCCGGACGCCTAGTGAGGGAAAATTGCGACGCGATAATATTAGAGCAAGTGTAGGGATTTTCCGAATAGCGGACTGTATAATTAGCAACAGTCGGGTAATATTCAAAGTTTACACGAACATTAGACTCAAACATTTCACCCCAGGAGGGCGCAGGACATCCCCTTTTGGAGAAGACGGCGGCATTCCGAGAAGACATTCAACTTTATCAAAGCTGTACGGTTGAATAATGTTTAAAATCCATAGAATCATGAATTAATAACGAGCTCGAGACTTGTTAGAATGTTACAATAAATGTTAGAAAAGAAAAGGCTGATATTCCATTGGATTGTCATCAATTCAGTAGGTAGCAAAATCCACTGAAGTTTCAAGAATCGTGATTTCTGTACAGAGTCCACATGCAGCGGGTAAGGTGAAGTACGTCGTACTCATGTAAGATCTTAATAGAAAAACAGAGCTAGCCAAATTATGAATAATTAGAGCAATTAAATTACTAGCATAGCAGGTCAACTTAGACTTAAAAAATCAAAAAACGTTACAAGTGGTTACCCAGCTTGGGAAATAATAAAATAAGTTGAGTTACAGAATATTGATGAATTGGAAAGATATAAGGAATAATATTAATATAATAAGGCAATAATATAATAAGGAAATAATATAAATAAGGAATAAGATATAAGGAAGAAAGATATAAGGCTCGTTGCAAATTGGCATGCCCAACGCGGGGCAGGTTCATGTTGGTTACAATACCTTTCTTATGACAAAACCAAGTACACCCATCAGTTATTTTTTTTAAATTATTTCATTTCCCTTCCCTTCCACACTTCAGTGCCAGTACAGTATTTCTACTCTTTGAGATCGATGTTTAAGGTAAAAAGGGTTATCCAATCTAGATCAACGTCACGTCACAGACAGTTTTTAACTGTTTTTGACGTAAGTAAATAAATAAATAAGCAATACCAAGAATTCCATATGAAGGTAAATTTGAAAGCAAGATGCCAATAACGTCAAAAGCTTTTGAAAGATTTAAAATTATCCCAATAGCTGCTTCGTTTTGGTTCATTGATTAGGAAACAATTTTAAGAAAAGAAAAAATTGCAATTTTCGTAGATTTTGATATTTTAAATGCGTGTTGTGAATCTTAAAACACCTCATTTACCCTGAATTTTTTTCATCGCATGTAAAAGGCCTGTAATATTTTTCAGAAAGCTGACAAAGAAATTGACTGATAATTTTGAATTTCATTTTTGTTGTCTTTTTTAAGAAGTGGCCTAATTTTCCTATTTTGAAAATATCTGGAAATATTTCTGTGAATAAAGAAGCATTGAGAATGTGAGTTAGCGGGTGAATGAAGCCAGGTGCACAAGTTTTAATGAAGTCTAGAAATTCCTCCAAATCATACGAATATTTAATATACAATGTAGGCTTTCACCGCCGATTTCTACATAATTAGGTGTTTCCGGGTTTGTAGGCCATGGTCACACGGAGACTGGTGCATACGTTTCGCCTGCAACTGTGGCAAGCATCATCAGTGGCGCTGCGGGCGGAAGCGAAGTATTGTTCTTGGCAGCACCGCGTTGATTGACGCTGCCGCTTTTTTTTTAATTTATTTATTTTTTTAAAATTAGAATTTCCCCTCTCCAGTGGCGCTGGAGAGGCGGGAATTTATTTGTCTTTATAGGCTACAATAGTTATTTCTGCAGTCGATTTGGCTTTTGCAGAAAGAGAGGGCTTTAATCTTAAACAAACTAACTCTACAAAAAGAAGCACAAACAGTTCTAGAGGCATTAGTAAAATGGTTCCAGGAAAATAAACTCATCATAAACACTTGTAAAACCGTCTCCCTAAACTTTCGGAATCCACTCTCTAAAGATTAGTAATGTTCTTATATCTTCTTTTTTTGCATTCTCACAAGCATTCACATTTATATTTATAAACATATTAATTTGTTCGTTCTTTTATACCAACATGCACACTCCCGCGGCTCTGGGACCCGCATTTATGGTGACAGGCGAGGTTCGCGCGTTCGTGACTGATTAGGTCGCGTCAGTGGTACTGGTTGCCTGCCGAGTTTTGGTCTTACGGAGTACTAGGTTCCATGCACTGTTTAATTTTTCACCTTCTTTTCTGTTGAAATTGTTTTTGTGTTTGTAAATCTCGATGGCTCCCATTTGGAGTCTCTTGTAGTAGTGTGTGGTGGTGGAGAGAACATCCGTCGCTTCAAAGCGCATGTCGTGTCCGCGTCCCGACAGCGCGTGATCGGCGATTGCTGATTTATTAGTCGGTTTTAGTGAAAGGAGGAAACTTCGCCATTACCCCATATTACAACATAAGATATCATTGTAAATATCGAACCAGTGATTCGCAAATTGAAACCGGGCGTAGGGAAAGAAATTCGACGTGGCTCTGCGAGAATTCTACAACACGCTAAACCACCCGATTGCAATATTACCAACTAAGACAAGTCTGCTCTAAAGAACTCAAACCGGAATAAGGATATCACCATTATTTCGGCATACAAAGGTAATGCGACTGTCATTATGGTCACTGAAGATTACCAACAGAAAGCCAGGGACATTTTGAATACCGATAACTACAGGCCTCTTTCTGAAGATCCTACGGCTTCTATTTTACGCAAGAGCAACGACCTTCTCAAGAAATCCTCTATACCTCCTGAGGAACGGAAGATTCTAAAGATTTCGGTGGCGCTACCTCCTAGACTCTATGGCTTACCAAAGTTCCACAAACCGTACATGCACGCCACTGCGACCAATTGTGAGTGCTATTAATTCGCCAACGTACACCTTGGCCATATACCGCTGACGTGGCCCAATCAGGCGCGAACCTCGCCTGTCACCATACGTACGGGTACCCAGAGCCGCGGGAGCCCAGACCTGGAATGTCAGAGAAATGAGACTTGAAACAAACTTAGTAATTCTACACACGCAATGCGCGTGCCAGTAGGCTAAAGTCCTTTTTGACCTGTTTTTCTTGATGTTGCAGATTGGCCATAGATGCCCGTAAGGGTAGGAATGGTCTCACTGCAGTAGCGTGAACGTGCATTACGTGTCCCAGCGTTCACAAAACTGCACAGAGAAGTCTTGGTCGTCAATGCGAGAAAGGCGTGCGGCCCCGACGGTCTCACCGCGGCGCAGCTGCGCGCTCTGGGCGGGCACGGAGTTGAGTTTTTACTCGAAAACCTGAATGCGTGCCTGGCGTGCGGTTATTTCCCAAAGGCGTGGAGGATTACGACCCTCGCGCTAATACCAAAAACTGGCAAAAATATATTAATTCCGAGCAGCTATCCGCCTATTAATCTACTCTCCATCCTAGGGAAGACGTTTGAGAGACTGATTTTGTCGCGTTTGCAACAGGAAATACGTCGACTCATCCTTCTCAGAGAAGGGCAATATGGCTTTCGATGATCACATCTCCACGCAGCAGTTTACGCGGCTTTGCACGGAGATCGGCCTTGCCCTCGAGAGACGGCAGAAGCTGCCAGCGGTCTTTCTGGATATGTGATTGGCTTTCGACTCTGTGTGGCATGCGGGTTTGCTCGAATGTCTGGCGGAGACGGGAGTAAGCGATTGCTACGTCAGACTGATCGCAAGTTTTCTCTCTGACAGGCAGTACGCGTCAATGGCGTACACTCGTTCCTCCGACAAGCCGAAGCGGGCGTACCTCGGGGGAGTGTTCTCTCTCCTATCCTCTTCAGCCTATGACGCGCCGCTTCCTGCTGAAATTAAAACAGGTATTCAACGCTGCGGGCTCCTCATGCTCGCGGATGATTTTGCGTACTACGCGAAATCGGCGAACGGAGGGCAGTCAGTTAAATACCTAACTGATTGTCTCGCCGCCTTTCCTGAATGGCTAAGTCGGAAACGACTCGCTCTCAACTTCGAGAAATGCGTCGCCGTCAACTTCACTCGTAAGAGGGCAAGTCCCAATGGAACGGCGCGCATCTACCTTGGCAGGGCGAAGCGAGATACTTGGGCGTGCTACTTGACAGCGGTCTTCGCTGGCATGCGCACGCTCGGTATCTCGCAGCCAAAATCAAAACTTGCACCCTCCTCTTGAAACCTCTTCTCAGTTCCCCTGACCTAAATATATCCCTCAAGCGCCGCTTATTTACCGGATGCGTGCATCTCGTTGCGAGCAGCGCCCGTGCAGTGAAGATCACGATCTCGTCATTGCAACGCGTACTGAGCCAGAAGCATACCGTAAACTATCCCAATATTTACTTCTGTTTAAATAACTTCTCTGAAACAGCGTAAGCTACTGAGCGGAAGCGCCTCTCACTTGTTAACACCCCAAGGAGTCTCTTTCGAAGAATCCTTGCCGAGAGCAACCACCGCTTCCGGGAGCAGAACCAACTATTTCCGGAGGAGCCTCTGCCGCCCTCGGATTCGGAAATGTTGGACGACGAGATGGCCGATGCACCACCTGCGGGAACCTCCAACGCCAGTGATGAGGTATCCAAACAAGCGCACCGCAACCTCCGATGCTCTCTTGACTCCTCGCCCGACCAACCATCCAAAATTTTCCTTATGGATGATGCTTCCGATTGGTAACAAAAGGAGTCAAACCCCAACCTCCACACCAAAGCAAACCAGTTGAATCCCTTAACCCGTTCAACCCTCTCTCCCAATTGGACCCCCAGCAATCTGACTCCGGAACCCCTGAAGAATTAAAACACAAATAACGCACCATTACCTGACCAATCATCCTCCCAACAAAGGACGACCCCAAAACCAACCAACAAAGGACGAATCGGACTTTCCTGAATTGACTTGACGACAATCCTTGACCCAACAGAACAAATCAAGGAATTGAAAACTAACTGTAATACCCACCTGACAGAATTGGTAATTCAACCAATGACTGTGACTGCCCACGGAAAGATAGTGGACCGCCTGGTCCAGATCTCTAGGGACCCCAAACCAAAAGAACTTTTCTTCATCACAATTTCTTACCACTTCAACCGAGCCAAAGACGAACAAAGAGGCAAATTTGTAATCAAAGGACTCCCGGCCAAATACGACTTGATTGCCATCAAAGACAACTTGACCACCCACAAAATTACTTCACTCCACATCACTGAGATGCGACGAGTCGCCGACGGGACATTGACACCAATAGGCCTGAATACAGTAAAGACAAACAAAAAAGAAATGACAATACTATAAGGTTATCCAAAAAGAAGCCAAGACACTACTAAAGAACAAATAAAATACTATTATAATACTGCAATAAATTAAGTATTTCACAAGTCTTCACAACGACTATAAGAACATAATGTTCAAGATATATACATTACAACAGTATACACCAAAAATATTATTTTAAAAGTTGCTGTTCCTTACTGCAATACATAAATAGCAAATATTTAAAGGGAGCTGGTATTTTCCTTAGACCCTCGCTGTTGCACAATGTCAACTGTATGAGAATAGGTGGAATAACAATAAAATATTTGCATTTTTCAATCAAAATGAAAAATGTTTCATTGTTGTTTGATTTTCCCAAAATTTTTCCCCTTTAATGCAGCCAGAGGTTGCATAGTTTTCTTTCAATCCTTGCGTACTTGGGAAATTAGTAATAGATTACTACAAACATATACTCTCAGTATTTTACTATGTAACTATATTCAATATTATATTGTAAATTCCTGAGACTTCAATGACAAAATGTCACCTAATGGAGTTGAAAAATCCATGCAAGTGTTTTGGATGATTACAAAATAAGCTCAGAACTATGAAGAACTAAAAGATATTAACTCCACACTTGGACACACTACAGTAGCATAAAACAAACTGTAATGCATAATGAAAGTTGCAATCAATATAAAATAGGTTTTCCTTCATTTCCTACAACAAATACTAGTTCACATTTCAGCTATGTAATCATTGCAAGCTTACAGGAAAACACTAAACAAAAATGTACAATTATTTTGCTGCATTATGTGCATTTCTGTTATTGATTTTTGTCTTCCAATGCAAGACAATAACACAGTATGTATATTTAAATAATTTAATGAAGAGTTTTGAGTATTTACTGTACATAATCTAAAAGTAGATTTTCTGGTTATTTGTTTTACTGGTGACTTAATTCTGGAGTGAATGGAACTTATATTTGAGAAAATGATACACTAAGAGTGTGTTTGATTCACCCTATGTGTTTCTCAACTCTATTGTCCTTGTGACCTATTAAATAAACATCACACTCATGAAGGAAAGCTGTACCAATGAAAACCCTAAAATTTGCAGCACAAAATCTTTGTACATACATGAAATAATGTGTGAACAATTTTTTTTAATAAACCTAAATATAAATATATATATATAATAATAATAATAATAATAATATATATATAATAATAATAATAATAATATATATATAAT